AACTAGAACTGAACTAGAACTGAACTAGAACTGAACTAGAACTGAACTAGAACTGAACTAGAACTGAACTAGAACTGAACTAGAACTGACTAGAACTGAACTAGAACTGAACTGAGAACTGAATAGACTGAACTAGAACTGAACTAGAACTGAACTAGAACTGAACGAGAACTGGAACTAGAACTGACTAGAAAACTGACTAGAACTGAACTAGAACTGACTAGAACTGAACTAGAACTGAACTAGAACTGAACTAGAACTGAACTAGAACTGAACTAGAACTGAACTAGAACTGAACTAGAACTGAACTAGAACTGAACTAGAACTGAACTAGAACTGAACTAGAACTGAACTAGAACTGAACTAGAACTGAACTAGAACTGAACTAGAACTGAACTAGAACTGAACTAGAACTGAACTAGAACTGAACTAGAACTGAACTAGAACTGAACTAGAACTGAACTAGAACTGAAGTAGAACTGAACTAGAACTGAACTAGAACTGAACTAGAACTGAACTAGAACTGAACTAGAACTGAACTAGAACTGAACTAGAACTGAACTAGAACTGAACTAGAACTGAACTAGAACTGAACTAGAACTGAACTAGAACTGAACTAGAACTGAACTAGAACTGAACTAGAACTGAACTAGAACTGAACTAGAACTGAACTAGAACTGAACTAGAACTGAACTAGAACTGAACTAGAACTGAACTATAACTGAACTAGAACTGAACTAGAACTGAACTAGAACTGAACTAGAACTGAACTAAACTGACTAGAACTGAACTAGAACTGAACTAGAACTGAACTAGAACTGAACTAGAACTGAACTAGAACTGAACTAGAACTGAACTAGAACTGAACTAGAACTGAACTAGAACTGAACTAGAACTGAACTAGAACTGAACTAAACTGAACTAGAACTGAACTAGAACTGAACTAGAACTGAACTAGAAACTGAACTAGAACTGAACTAGAACTGAACTAGAACTGAACTAGAACTGAACTAGAACTGAACTAGAACTGAACTAGAACTGAACTAGAACTGAACTAGAACTGAACTAGAACTGAACTAGAACTGAACTAGAACTGAACTAGAACTGAACTAGAACTGAACTAGAACTGAACTAGAACTGAACTAGAACTGAACTAGAACTGAACTAGAATTGAACTAGAACTGATCAGAAACATTTCTGTCATCTTTGGGCAGGTTAGGTAGGTTGATAGGAGGATGTATATTACATCAAATCTGAAGAAATACACCTAGGCCACTATCGGGCCTGTTGTGCGCTCCAATTGGGCAGGTTTAAGTGATATGTCCTTTTGTCACAAGTCACGTAAACTGCCTTAGTTATGAAGAATCTATGAACTGCAAAAATAATATTCATTATTTATCTAACAAAAAAATACCTAAAATATGAGTCCTCAATCAGAGATAATAATTTGTTTAGCAGAACAAATTTCATTTAGCACAATTAATAATAGATATTAAAACAAACAAATTGTGCTATTTTTATATAAAAAAAAAAAAAAACAAAACAAAGAAAGAAGAAAGTTTGTTTAATAGTTTGACACAGACTTGACAGCTAGTCTTCAGCTAAAGTAAATACATTGCGCAAATGTTATTAGAAAATATTAGCAAACGAATTTTTTCACAGTGTAAGAAAAATGTAAACAAATGGCGTCAATTGCGACTAAAATGCAGTTAAATGCGACCATTATTTGGTTTAATAACTTCACAACTAACATATGATTTGACAGGTTGTGAGAAAGTTTTGTTTTCTTTTAATTGGTATGGGAATTTATAAGGCGTAATATTTTAGAGGTTAAGTTTGGTTTTGGTTATTTATTTTTTTTTTATTATTTACTTTAAGTGTAATGTTTATATTTTTTGGTTTATTATTTATGGTTTTTTTATAATTTTGTTTATTTTTAAATTTTTATTGCAGTTTGAAATACGTCAGGCGAATATTTGTCACCTTTTTATTTTATTTATATTTTATTATTATTTGTAAAAATATTATTTTATTTTTGAAAATTTTCTATGTTTTTTTTTGATTTTTGGGAATTTTTTTTTGTTTTCTTTTTACAAAAAATAAAATGACTAATTTGTTTAACAATTTCCGCTTATTTATAAGCAATTTATTAAGAATTTCTGTTTTATTTGAGAAATAAATTTTTAAAACTTTTTCTCAAAATCTCATAAATTTTATTAAATCATAAATTAAAAATATTAATCAAACTAAAAGAAAATATTTAAAGAAGTCAAAGTCAAACCAATTTATTTAAATTTTTTTTTTTCTTAAAATGTTCGTTGATTTGTTTCCATGCATTTCTCTTAAACAAAATTAAATATTTTATTAAATTTCTTGTCCTACACAAGGTTTTTTCATTTAACAGTAATTCAAAACAAAACCCAAAACACCTGTTGCCTTTAAATATTCTCCTAACAACTAAACACCTGATATTTTACATTTTAATAAACGAATAAATTTTCTAACAAAATTCTAAGGAAACCATAATTAAGCAGCGCATTAACAAACCATACAACTAAAATTGAAATCCATACAAACTTTTCCATTCTCCATTGTTTATAAACAATTGCGGCTTTATTTGTTTATTTATTAATTGAAATTAATTAACAAAGTGCGTTCAATACATTTCAAATGCAAGAATATAAACAGCTACAATTTCAATTAATTCATATGATTTTGGAAAATTCCCACACAGGTAGATAAGGAAACTAACTATTTATTTAGCTAAAAATTTTCCAATTGCCTGCAAACGAGCCAAACAACAACAAGAACAAACATTATTACATGCATATGCCTGCAGTTTCAATCAAAACTGATGACATAAATACAATAGAATTTAAAGAAAATTTTGTTAAACTATAGAAAAAGTGTTATAAAAACAACTTTTCAAATGCTAAAGTTTTCTTATAAAAAAAAGATAACAACAATAAAAAAATCATCCTTCTCAACCCTTTTTTTTTTGTTGAAGTTATTCTGGTCATGGTTATGTGTTTTATTATTTAATACCAGCTATTCTGAGAAATTTTAATATTTTAAAGAAAAGCAAAAGAAAATGGAGAATTAGAAAATTATAACAAAGTGTTTTTAATGACCATAACAGTAACAGAACTACGTTGCTAAACAATATAAAAATGTATTACGACTAACTAGTTAGCAATGAATGTATGATGAAATACGTGTAATATTTTGTAATATGAAACCTAGTCTAACAATTAGTATTTGGAAGATGTTAAATAATTTCGAAAAATTTCTAAAACAAAATGAATACAGAATAGAACAAATTTAATAATTACTTGATTATTGTGTTCTAGTTCAGTGTAGTTCTGTTCTAGTTTGTTCTAGTTCTGTTCTAGTTCTGTTCTAGTTCTGTTCTAGTTCTGTTCTAGTTCTGTTCTAGTTCTGTTTTTTTTCTAGTTCTGTTCTAGTTCTGTTCTAGTTCTGTTCTAGTTCTGTTCTAGTTCTGTTCTAGTTCTGTTCTAGTTCTGTTCTAGTTCTGTTCTAGTTCTGTTCTAGTTCTGTTCTAGTTCTGTTCTAGTTCTGTTCTAGTTCTGTTCTAGTTCTGTTCTAGTTCTGTTCTAGTTCTGTTCTAGTGTTCTAGTTCTGTTCTAGTTCTGTTCTAGTTCTGTTCTAGTTCTGTTCTAGTTCTGTTCTAGTTCTGTTCTAGTTCTGTTCTAGTTCTGTTCTAGTTCTGTTCTAGTTCTGTTCTAGTTCTGTTCTAGTTCTGTTCTAGTTCTGTTCTAGTTCTGTTCTAGTTCTGTTCTAGTTCTGTTCTAGTTCTGTTCTAGTTCTGTTCTAGTTCTGTTCTAGTTCTGTTCTAGTTCTGTTCTAGTTCTGTTCTAGTTCTGTTCTAGTTCTGTTCTAGTTCTGTTCTAGTTCTGTTCTAGTTCTGTTCTAGTTCTGTTCTAGTTCTGTTCTAGTTCTGTTCTAGTTCTGTTCTAGTTCTTTTCTAGTTCTGTTTAGTTCTGTTCTAGTTCTGTTCTAGTTCTGTTCTAGTTCTGTTCTAGTTCTGTTCTAGTTCTGTTCTAGTTCTGTTCTGTTTCTGTTCTAGTTCTGTTCTAGTTCTGTTCTAGTTCTGTTCTAGTTCTGTTCTAGTTCTGTTCTAGTTCTGTTCTAGTTCTGTTCTAGTTCTGTTCTAGTTCTGTTCTAGTTCTGTTCTAGTTCTGTTCTAGTTCTGTTCTAGTTCTGTTCTAGTTCTGTTCTAGTTCTGTTCTAGTTGTTCTAGGTTCTGTTCTAGTTCTGTTCTAGTTCTGTTTCTAGTTCTGTTCTAGTTCTGTTCTAGTTCTTTCTAGTTCTGTTCTAGTTCTGTTCTAGTTCTGTTCTAGTTCTGTTCTAGTTCTGTTCTAGTTCTGTATCTAGTTCTGTTCTAGTTCTGTTCTAGTTCTGTCTAGTTCTGTTCTAGTTCTGGTTCTAGTTTCTGTTCTAGTTCTGTTCTAGTTCTTGTTCTTGTTCTTGTTCTGTTTCTAGTTCAGTTCTAGTGGTGTTCTAGTTGTGTTCTAGTTCTGTTCTAGTTCTGTTCTAGTTCTGTTCTAGTTGTGTTCTGGTTGTGTTCTAGTTCTGTTCTAGTTCTGTTCTAGTTCTGTTCTAGTTCTGTTCTTGTTGTGTTCTAGTTGTGTTCTAGTTGTGTTCTAGTTGTGTTCTAGTTGTGTTCTAGTTCTGTTTTAGTTCTGTTCTAGTTCTGTTCCAGTTCTGTTCCAGTTCTGTTCCAGTTCTGTTCCAGTTCTGTTCAAGTTCTGTTCTAGTTTTACAAAATTTGTTTATTTTCTTAAAAAAAATGTCTTTAAATTGTCTATAAATTAATTTTTAAGTTTTCTGCTTTATTGATTACTTTGTCTCTCAATTTTTTTCTGACATTTATTATATTATATAGACAAATTCTATTGCATTTGATTTAGATATAATCTGTCAATCACAGGTTATATATTAATAACAACATATAGAGACATATGTTTATAACAACTTACCGGATTTGCCGACATCTGCATTACCAATCACTGCTATACGAACTCTGGGTATGACAGTTTTTTCTTCAGCCTTCATTTTGATTTTAACTAGAATAAAAGAAAAAAAAAAACAGTAAAAAACATTACATTTAAATATTTAATGTAAGTTATACACTTATGGTTATGCGGGAGAGAAAAGTAAAAAAAAATAAAAAAATTAATAAAATAAAAAATAAAAAACAATAACAAAATCTTAAGTAGTTTATCATGATGAGTTAAATAAAATATAATAATCTTGATAAATGTGTGATAATAACCTTTTTTTTTTAATTTAAGTTGTTATTGTTTTAAATACGTTAAAAATTTATAATTGTTATGACTTTTTTTAGAACAAATACACAGATTTTTATCTTATTTAAAAAAATAAACAAAAACTAAATAATGAAGAAAAAAAAAAAAAAAAAAAAAAAAAAAAAACAACAAATTTAATAGAGTAGTTCAAGAGCAAATATTTAAAAGACTAAGACAATATAAGATATATTCAGATATTATATACATTTTTGCTTTAGGTTTTTGATCAGAATTTTGGAAATGTTTTTCCTAACAGCTATCACTCAACTATTTATCCATTTATCTTCAAAATTGTCACTTTGAATTAGATGTTTTTCTACTTTTTAGTAAAATATAAGAAAATAATTTTAATTTTATTTCATAAAAAAATTCTACTTTTGTTATCTTTATCTCAAATTAGTCTAAAGATAACAAACATTTTCAAATATTTCATTTTGAAAAAATATACAAACAAAAATTTTGCACGTTTATTTTCTTTTTATTTGGAATTTTTTTTGTTCGTTGTGTAGAGAAATGTGTAGCCCCATCAGAACAAATGTGAATGTTTTCTTTTGCTAATTTATTATTTGAAATACATAATATAACTCTAATATAATCTAATACATGAAAAGAAATGTTTATAGATGATATATTTTGTCATATTAAGTATTTCATTTACGTAGTTGCTCTGGTATGCCTGGAATTTTTTATCTAAATATTTATTTAACTGTTAGAATTATACTTAATATACAAATACAAAAAAATAAATACAATTTTAAATTCTAAAACCTTTTATTAAGAATTTTCTTTAGTTAGAACTTAGTTAATCATGGGATATTTTTAAAATAATTACAAATGATTTTTAAGTGCAAAAGAACAGAACTACAAGAGAATATAACTAGAACAGAACAAGAACAGAACTAAGACATAACTAGAACAGAACTAGAACAGAACTAGAATAGAACTAGAACAGAACTAGAACAGAACTAGAACAGAACTAGAACAGAACTAGAACATAACTAGAACAGTACTAGAACAGAACTAGAACAGAACTAGAACAGAACTAAAACAGAACTAGAACAGAACTGGAACAGAACTAGAACAGAACTAGAACAGAACTAGAACAGAACTAGAACAGAACTAGAACAGACTAGAACAGAACTAGAACAGAACTAGAACAGAACTACAACAGAACTAGAACAGAATTAGAACAGAACTAGAACAGAACTAGAACAGAACTAGAACAGAACTAGAACAGAACTAGAACAGAACTAGAACAGAACTAGAACAGAACTAGAACAGAACTAGAACAGAACTAGAACAGAACTAAAACAGAACTGGAACGGAACTAGAATAGAACTAGAACAGAACTAGAACAGAACTAGAACAGAACTAGAACAGAACTAGAACAGAACTAGAACTGAACTAGAACTGAACTAGACTAGAACTAGAACTGAACTAGAACAGAACTAGAACAGAACTAGAACAGAACTAGAACAGAACTAGAACAGAACTAGAACAGAACTAGAACAGAACTAGAACAGAACTAGAAAGAACTAGAACAGAACTAGAACAGAACTAGAACAGAACTAGAGCAGACTGAGCAGAACTAGAACAGAACCTAGAACAGAACTAGAACAGAACTAGAACAGAACTAGAACAGAACTAGAACAGAACTAGAACAGAACTAGAACAGAACTAGAACAGAACTAGAACAGAATATAACTAGAACGAACTAGAACAGAACTAGAACAGAACTAGAACAGAACTAGAACAGAACTAGAACAGAACTAGAACAAACTAGAACAGAACTAGAACAGAACTAGAACAGAACTAGAACAGAACTAGAACAGAACTAGAACAGAACTAGAAACAGAACTAACGAACTAGAACGAACTAGAACTAGAACAGAACTAGAACAGAACTAGACAGAACTAGAACAGAACTAGAACCAGAACTAGAACAGAACTAGAACAGAACTAGAACAGAACTAGAACGAACTAGAACAGAACTAGAACAGAACTGAACAGAACTAGAACAGAACTAGAACAGAACTAGAACAGAACTAGACAGAACTAGAACAGAACTAGAACAGAACTAGAACAGAACTAGAACAGAACTAGAAACAGAACTAGAACTAGAACAGAACTAGAACCGAACTAGAACAGAACTAGAACAGAACTAGAACAGAACTAGAACAGAACTAGAACAGAACTAGAACAGAACTAGAACAGAACTAGACAGAACTAGAACTAGAAACTAGAACTAGAACAGAACTAGAACAGAACTAGAACAGAACTAGAACAGAACTAGAACAGAACTAGAACAGAACTAGAACCAGAACTAGCAACAGAACTAGAATAGAACTAGAACAGAACTAGAACAGAACTAGAACAGAAACTAGAACAGAACTAACAGAACTAGAACAGAACTAGAACAGGACTAGAACAGAACTAGAACAGAACCTAGAACAGAACTAGAACAGAACTAGAACAGAACTAGAACAGAACTAGAACAGAACTAGAACAGAACTAGAACAGAACTAGAACAGAACTAGAACATAACTAGAACAGAACTAGAAGAGAACTAGAACAGAACTAGAACAGAACTAGAACAGAACTAGAACAGAACTAGAACAGAACTGAACTGAACTGAACTAGAACAGAACTAGAACAGAACTAGAACAGAACTAGAACAGAACTAGAACAGAACTAGAACAGAACTAGAAGAGAACTAGAACAGAACTAGAAGGAGAAAGATTCCTGCTTCTTTTCTTATAAAAGATTTTCTAAATCCAGTAATTTTTTCTAATTTTCCATAATAGCCTTTTCTTTTCCTCTCCTGCTGTTGGTAATTTGTTTATAAATCCATTAATACCAATTTAAATTGTACACAAAAAATCAATTGTTTAAAAATTCTCTACTAAATCCAGCCACAACATTGCCATTTTCTTGTGAAAATTTTATGATAAAATTTTGAATATATCTTCTCGCATAAATATTTGTTTAGTGCCAAGAAAATTTGATTTAAATGTGGTATTTATTATTAAATAAAAATCCAATAAATTTATATGTAGTATATAAATTATTATTGTATATACACAAATATATGAATGATTAGTACATTTAAATAGATTTAAAAACACCCACAAAAAAAGCAGAAAATAAAAAATAGTTTTGGATAGTAAGAACATAGATACCTAAGAGTGTTTTTAATATTTCCGTTTAAAACATTTTTAAAAAATCATTTTATACTTTTAACAAGTTTTTAAATTGTATGAGAAAATTAATAATTTATCAACAATGTCCATCTGTCTGTGCTTTAAATTTAGGAAAATAAATTGGCAGAAACGTTTTACTTGCAAAATAACAATAAATGTTTTGTTTACCCAAATTTTTTTCCAACTGGAAAATCCATCATGTTTATTTATCAATTATTCGTATACGGAAACTTTTGTAAATATTATTGAAATTATTATTGTTGTTGTTGATACATAATATGTAAATTATTTATTGAGGGAATTACCTGCCTACATTGTTATGATATCATTAACAATCCAATGAATGAACGAATAAATGAAAAATAAATCCAATCATAAAACTTCTAGGAATTCCCGGTCAATGTACGTTTGCTGAAATATTTTTTGCCATCATCCATCTCTATAGAAGGAAAATTATCATATAGATGAATAAGTATTTGTATGTACAATTGGTGGGCAACTGTGGAAAAGGGGCTGTTGGCTTACCACCCATTAATTGTGATGAATGTGGCAATAACATTACTGATTCACCTTTTGGCTATAGGAAGCAACATTAACATATTCATTCTAGCTCATGTATAGGGATTTATGTGTAGAATAATACTTGTTTATTTTTTCACTCTACTATATAGTGCGTATGAGTTCGTTTTTAATGCCAAACAATCATTACTCATACGCCTCTTTAAAAATTTCTATTTTTAACCGTAAAAAGCTAAAATACTTTTGTTGTTTATCCCAAGTCAGCTATAAAAGCCATATTATGTATTTTTATGAACTCATGACTTTAAGAATAGAATTAAGAAAAAATACATTAAAATATTTCAAATTCTTTAAGATAAAATTTGCTAATTTTGTTTTAGTTACACCCCCAACAAAAACTATTATCTATTAGTAATAAATAAGGAAATTCGGTTAAAAATTTAAACAAAATCAAACAAGAGGTAAAAAATAAATCGAAAGACATTTGGGAAATGATTTTTAAATATATTTTCTTTAAATTTATCAAACTAATTTGTAAACAATGAAATTATTTACAATAATTAACAAAAAAATTTAAAATATTATAAATTTGTTTGCCTTTATTAGGACATTCGAATAAACAGAACTAAAACAGAACTAGAACAGAACTAGAACTAGAACAAAGCTAGAACTGAACTAGAACTGAACTAGAACTGAACTAGAACTGAACTAGAACTGAACTAGAAACTGAACTAGAACTGAACTAGAACTGACAGACTGAACTAGAACTGACTAGAACTGAACTAGAACTGAACTAGAACTGAACTAGAACTAGAACTGAACTAGAACTGAACTCAGAAACTGAACTAGAACTGAACTAGAACTGAACTAGAACTGAACTAGAACTGAAACTAGAACTGAACTAGAACTGAACTAGAACTGAACTAGAACTAACTAGAACTGAACTAGAACTGAAACTAGAACTGAACTAGAACTGAACTAGAACTGAACTAGAACTGAACTAGAACTGAACTAGAACTGAACTAGAACTGAACTAGAA